TATATGCTATCTACAAGAGACCCACTTCAGACCTAGAGACACATACAGACTGAAAGTAAGGGTATGGAAAAAGATATTACATGCAAATGGAAACCAAAAGAAAGCTGGAGTAGCAATTCTCATATCAGGAAAAATAGGCTTTAAAATAAAGACTATTAGAAGAGACAAAGAAGGACACTACATAATGATCAAGGGATCGATCCAAGAAGAAGATGTAACAATTGTAAATATTTATGCACCCAATGTAAGAGCACCTCAATACATAAGCCAAATACTAACAGCCATAAAAGGGGAAATCGACAGTAACACAATAATAGTAAGGGACTTCAACACCCCACTCGCACCAATAGACAGAACTTCCAAAATGAAAATAAATAAGGAAACACAAGCTTTAAATGATACATTAAACAAGATGGACTTGTTCATCCAAGTCCATCCAAAACAACAGAATACACATTTTTCTCTGGTGCTCATGGAACATTCTGCAGGATAGATCATATCTTGGGTCACAAATCAAGCCTTGGTAAATTTAAGAAAACTGAAATTGTATCAAGTATCTTTCCCGACCACAACGCTATGAGACTAGATATCAATTACAGGAAAAGATCTGTAAAAAATACAAACACATGGAGGCTAAACAATACACTACTTAATAACGAAGTGATCACTGAAGAATACAAGAGGAAATAAAAAAATACCTAGAAACAAATGACAATGGAGACACGACAACCCAAAACCTATGGGATGCAGCAAAAGTAGTTCTAACAGGGAAGTTTATAGCAATACAATCATACCTTAAGAAATAGGAAACATCTCGAATAAACAACCTAACCTTGCACCTAAAGTAATTAGAGAAAGAAGAACAAAAAAACCCCAAAGTTAGCAGAAGGAAAGAAATCATGAAAATCAGATCAGAAATAAATGAAAAAGAAATGAAGGAAACGATAGCAGAGATCAATAAAACTAAAAGCTGGTTCTTTGAGAAGATAAACAAAATTGATAAACCGTTAGCCAGACTCATCAAGAAAAAAAGGGAGAAGACTCAAATGAATAGAATTAGAAATGAAAAAAGAGAAGTAACAACTGACACTGCAGAAATACAAAAGATCATGAGAGAGTACTACAAGCAACTCTATGCCAATAAAATGGACAACCTGGAAGAAATGGACAAATTCTTAGAAATGCACAACCGGCCAAGACTGAATCAGGAAGAGATAGAAAATATGAACAGACCAATCACAAGCACTGAAATTGAAACTGTGATTAAAAATCTTCTAACAAACAAAAGTCCAGGACCAGATGGCTTCACAGGAGAATTCTTTCAAACATTTAGAGAAGAGCTAACACCTATCCTTCTCAAACTCTTCCAAAATATAGCAGAGGGAGGAACACTCCCAAACTCATTCTAAGAGGCCACCATCACCTTGATACTAAAACCAGACAAGGATGTCACAAAGAAAGAAACTACAGGCCAATATCACTGATGAACATAGATGCAAAAATACTCAACAAAATACTAGCAAACAGAATCCAACAGCACAGTAAAAGGATCATACACCATGATCAAGTGGGGTTTATCCCAGGAATGCAAGGATTCTTCAATATATGCAAATCAATCAACGTGTTACACCATATTAACAAACTGAAGGATAAAAACCATATGATCATCTCAATAGATGCAGAAAAAGCTTTTGACAAAATTCAACACCCATTTATGATAAAAACCCTCCAGAAAGGAGGCATAGAGGGAACCGTCCTCAACATAATAAAGGCCATATATGACAAACCCACAGCCAACATCGTCCTCAATGGTGAAAAACTGAAAGCATTTCCACTAAGATCAGGAACAAGACAAGGTTGCCCACTCTCACCACTCTTACTCAACACAGTTTTGGAAGTTTTCCCCACAGCAATCAGAGAAGAAAAGGAAATAAAAGGAATCCAAATCGGAAAAGAAGAAGTAAAATTGTCACTGTTTGCAGATGACATGATACTATACATAGAGAATCCTAAAGATGCTACCAGAAAACTACTAGAGCTAATCAATGAATTTGGTAAAGTAGCAGGATACAAAATTAATGCACAGAAATCTCTGGCATTCCTATATACTAATGATGAAAAATCTGAAAGTGAAATCAAGAAAACACTCCCATTTACCACTACAACAAAAAGAATAAAATATCTAGGAATAAACATACCTAAGGAGACAAAAGACCTGTATGCAGAAAATTATAAGACAGTGATGAAAGAAATTAAAGATGATATAAATAGATTGAGAGATATACCATGTTCTTGGATTGGAAGAATCAACATCGTGAAAATGACTCTACTACCCAAAGCAATCTACAGATTCAGTGCAATCCCTATCAAACTACCACTGGCATTTTTCACAGAACTAGAACAAAAAAACTTCACAATTTGTATGGAAACACAAAAGACCCCGAATAGCCAAAGCAATCTTGAGAACGAAAAATGGAGCTGGAGGAATCAGGCTCCCTGATGTCAGACTATACTACAAAGCTACAGTAATCAAGACAGTATGGTACTGGCACAAAAACAGAAAGATAGATCAATGGAACAGGATAGAAAGCCCAGAGATGAACCCACGCACATATGGTCACCTTATCTTTGATAAAGGTGGCAGGAATGTACAGTGGAGAAAGGACAGCCTCTTCAATAAGTGGTGCTGGGAAAACTGGACAGGTACATGTAAAAGTATGAGATTAGATCACTCCCTAACACCATACACAAAAATAAGCTCAAAATGGATTAAAGACCTAAATGTAAGGCCAGACACCATAAAACTCTTAGAGGAAAACATAGGCAGAACACTCTATGACATAAATCACAGCAAGATCCTTTCTGACCCACCTTCTAGAGAAATGGAAATAAAAACAAAAATAAACAAATTGGACCTAATGAAAGTTCAAAGCTTTTGCATAGCAAAGGAAACCATAAACAAGACCAAAAGACAACCCTCAGAATGGGAGAAAATATTTGCAAATGAAGCAACTGACAAAGGAGTAATCTCCAAAATTTACAAGCAGCTCATGCAGCTCAATATCAATAAAAAACAAACAACCCAATCCAAAAATGGGCAGAAGACCTAAATAGACATTTCTCCAAAGAAGATAGACAGACTGCCAACAAACACATGAAAGAATGCTCAACATCATTAATCATTAGAGAAATGCAAATCAAAACTACAATGAGATATCATCTCACACCAGTCAGAATGGCCATCATCAAAAAATCTCGAAACAATAAATGCTGGAGAGGGTGTGGAGAACAGGGAACACTCTTGCACTGCTGGTGGGAATGTGAATTGGTTCAGCCACTATGGAGAACAGTATGGAGGTTCCTTAAAAAACTAAAAATAGAACTACCATATGATCCAGCAATCCCACTACTGGGCATATACCCTGAGAAAACCATAATACAAAAAGAGTCATGTACCAAAATGTTCACTGCAGCTCTATTTACAATAGCCCGGAGATGGAAACAACCTAAGTGCCCATCATCAGATGAATGGATAAAGAAGATGTGGCACATATATACAATGGAATATTACTCAGCCATAAAAAGAAATGAAATTGAGCTACTTGTAATGAGGTGGATAGACCTAGAGTCTGTCATACAGAGTGAAGTAAGTCAGAAAGAGAAAGACAAATATCGTATGCTAACACATATATATGGAATTTAAGAAAAAAAATGTCATGAAGAACCTAGGGGTAAGACAGGAATAAAGACACAGACCTACTAGAGAACGGACTTGAGGATATGGGGCGGGGGAAGGGTGAGCTGTGACAGGGCAAGAGAGAGGCATGGACATATATACGCTACCAAACGTAAGGTAGATAGCTAGTGGGAAGCAGCCGCATAGCACAGGGAGATCAGCTCGGTGCTTTGTGACCGCCTGGAGGGGTGGGATAGGGAGGGTGGGAGGAAGGGAGATGTAAGAGGGAAGAGATATGGGAACATATATATATGTATAACTGATTCACTTTGTTATAAAGCAGAAACTAACACACCATTGTAAAGCAATTATACTCCAATAAAGATGTAAAACAAAATTACTTGCTAATTTCAAGAGTAAAAACTTTATGCCATTTATACTTAAAAAAAATCATGCTTGTGGGTGAATAATAGCAGTTGAGTTGCCTCAATTATTGGACAATATTTGGACACATTTCTAGGTTATTTATTTACAAATATACTGTCCCTGAAATGGAGCAGGACCCTATGGGGCCTTCCCAAGACAGACACCCTCCATGTCCTCTGCCTGCCTTTTGTCTGTAGAAAAACTTTAGTCAAAAATAAATTTAATCAGAGAAATGAGAAAATGCAGAAACAAAGAAAAAGCAGTCAAACAGGACAAAATAATAATAGTATAGTCATTAAGCAAAGTCAAAGACTTTTAGCTCCTTGTCGAGGGCTATAGATAATGTTCTGAGCCATATTCTCTGAGCTGTTTTGTAGATACTGAAACCCCCACCAGGTGGAAGACATTAACTACATGATGACCAAACTGTAGCCATGACATAAGCTGCCATAATTCCAAGAACTGGCCTCAAGGAAATGGGAACAAACCGACCCTGAACTGAAGATTAACGGTAGTTAAAACAATCAAACATGATGTTGATCAAACCACCGCATGACTAATTTCAAGACGATCATCAGAGCAGACTATGCTGTTCTACATGTAGCCACCTCTCTCCATCTATACACCCCTGAAACTCTCCTTTAAAAGCTCTTGCCCACTGGCCGGCAGCGGGAAATTGGTCTTTGGACATGAGTCCACATTCTCTCCCAGTTGCCAGCCTCAAAAATAAAGCAAATTTTCCTTTCGACCAACACCTGCCTCTTGAGTATTGGTTTTCGAGCAGTGAACAGCCGGACCTGAGTTTGGTAACATCCCAAAGTTTTATAAGATGCATCCACAGGTCTGTGTAAACCGAGCTACATGTGCTGGCCACTGTGATCACATATATTCTTCTTTTTAAAATACGGAATGCTTCAGGAATTTGCATGTCATCCTTGTGCAGGGGCCATACTAACCTTCTCTGTATTGTTCCAATTTTAGTATATGTGCTGCCGAAGGGAGCACATCACGTATATTCTTAACTCTTCATGTACCTTGGGGAGGCTGTCAGGTGCCAGACTCCCTAAGTTGAGAGCTACCTTGAAAATGCATGGACTGGAGTGGTTAGGGAAAATGAAGGTAGGTATCCAATCCATTTCTCATTTACTCATGAATTTGATGTTCCAACTTTTATTCTCCCGCTTAGTGCAACTCACTGGTATCACCACCAGAGGGAACAAGGTTAATGTTTGGAGAGAAAAGCAAGTAGACTTACATCACTACTCACAGCAGTGATAGATAACTTGCCTATCAGAGGCTGATATCTAAATGTCAGCCACATGCTAGGTATTTTACAACATTATTTCTTTATTTTTAATGTCTTAAGTTTAAATTATATTATCTCTTTTTAAATAGAAAATGTATTTACAAGTTTAAAAAATTTTAAAGTCCAAGAGAGTATAATGTGAAAACTCTCCCCTGCCACCTTTGTCCCTCAGCCTCTCAGCTACCTTTCCCACAGGCAACTAATGTTAGCAGTTTCCTGTGATATTTCACTTCATGGGTATGTAATGTTATCTGTTTCTTTAGAGCTAACTTATGCATATATATGTAAATGAATACATTCTTTCCCTACCCTTTAAAAGATAAATGGTAGTATGCTATACACACAAATGTGCATTTAATGATATATCTTAGAGACTGTTCCATATCAATACAAAAAGAGCTTCCCCAATCTTTTTTTATGATGTCATTATATGCATATGCTATAATTTATTCAATCAGTTCTTTATTTTTATTTTTTAAAAATTATTTATTTTATTTTTGGTTGCATTGGGTCTTTGTTGCTGCACACAGGCTTTCTGTAGTTGTGTTGAGTGTGGGCTACTCTTTGTTGTGGTGTGCAGACTTCTCACTGCAGTGGCTTCTCTTGTTGCGGAGCACGGGCTCTAGGTGTGTGGGCTTCAGTAGTTGTGGCACATGGGCTTAGTTGCTCCGTGGCATGTGGGATCTTCCTGGACCAGGGATCGAACCCATGTCCCCTGCATTGGCAAGCGGATTCTTAACCACTGCCCCACTAGGGAAGTCCCAATCAGTTCTTTATTGATGGGCATTTAGGTTACTTAAAATCTTCTGTGATTACAAACAATGCTACAATGAATAAACCTGTAAATATACTATTTCTTAATAATGCAAGTTTACCTTCTGGAAAGAGTTGTCAGCAGTAACTTCATTTTGTACCTTAGAACTCCATCTTGTTAAACTGGGAACTCTGCTGACCTGACTCTGCTGACTTAAAAAAAAAAAGGAAGCTATTTGCTGAGAAAGTAATCCCTGAGAACTGCGTAGAAATGTGCCTTTACTGAAACATCCTTGACAAGCCAATAAATTCTTACAGGAAAAAAAAAAAAATAAATATATATATATATATATATATATATATATATATGCCATCCAATCATAGTTCTTGGCAAACAACTTATGTAAACTAAATGTACTTCTCTATTTTCCTTTTAAGACCCCTATTTTTTGCTCCCCAGACAGGACATTTCATTATTCTGGTTGCTGTCAGAATCTGTGCTTCCACATTGCAATTCTAAGACCCCAAATAAATGCATTTCTTTGTTTACAGTCTACCTCTTTTTCTGAGATGACAACCTGTAGGATACATTCTTAGAACTGGAGTAACTGGGGCAAAGAGTATACACACCCATAGGCTGTTTCCAACCACATCACCATTTCACACACAGCAGGGCTCAGAGAAGTGACTCACTCAAGGACACACAGTTATTAAACACTGGAGCCAGAATTCAAACGTGTTTTTTCCATATCTCCACATTGCTCTTTTACTGGCTGATAAGATTTTTCCTCAACAATAAATAATAACTGAGTATGTATATGTACAATGTGTGTGGTAAGTGCTTTGTAGGATACAAAGGAGTAAAGACATGGATACTGTCCTCAAGGAGGTTATGATCGGGTAGTTTTAATAAAAAATTGGAAGGAAGGAAGTGGATGAAGCTATGGAATATATACACCCCCCACACCTATACTACACACACACACACACACACACACACACACACACACACACACACACACACATAGACACACACACACGTAAATGTATATGTATTGGGTTAGCCAAAAATTTCCTTTGGGTTTTTAAGTAAAAATAAAAGACATATTTTTCATTTTCACCAAGAACTTTACTGAACAACGTATTCACCATTTTGTTCCACTACCTTCTGCCATTTTTCAGGCAACTTCATAATTCCATCTTCCCAAAACTTTTTAACTTTTTGAGCAAAGAACTGTTCCAGGCGTCTTTTACAGTCTTCCAGGGAATTGAATTTTTTTCCATTAAGAGAATTTTGTAAAGACCGAAATAAATGGAAATCCGAAGGTGCAATGTCTGGTGAATACAGCGGATGAATCAGAACTTCCCAGTCAAGCTGTAACAGTTTTTGCCTGGCCATCAAAGAAACATGCAGTCTTGCATTATCCTGATGGAAGATTATGAGTTTTCTGCTGACTAATTCCAGACGCTTTTCATCGAGTGCTGCTTTCAGTTGGTCTAATTGGGAGCCGTACTTGTCAGAATTAATTGTTTGGTTTTCTGGAAGGAGCTCGTAACAGCGGACTCCCTTCCAATCCCACCATATACACAACATCACCTTCTTTGGATGAAGACCAGCCTTTGGTGTCGTTGGTGGTGGTTCATTTCACTTGCCCCACGATCTCTTCCATTCCACATTAGGGTACAGCATCCGTTGTTTTAAAACCGGAACGTTTTTGTTACATTTCAGTAGAGGATCACATGTGGAAATACGGTCAAGAAGGTTTTTTTTCCCGCTTAACTTATGTGGAAACCAAACATCAAAGCGATGAACATAACCAAGCTGCTGCAAATGATTTTCAATGCTTGATTTGGATATTTTGAGTATGTCTGCTATCTCCCGCGTGGAATACGTTGACTGTTCTCAATTAATGTCTTGATTTGATCGCTATCAACTTCAACAGGTCTACCTGACGACCATGGAGCATCATCCAGTGAGAAATCTCCAGCACAAAACTGCACAAACCACTTTTTTTTTTTTTTTTTTTGCGGTACGCACGCCTCTCACTGTTGTGGCCTCTCCCGTTGCGAAGCAGACTGTGGACGCGCAGGCTCAGCGGCCATGGCTCACGGGCCCAGCCACTCCGCGGCATGTGGGATCTTCCCGGACCGGAGCTCGAACCCGTGTCCCCTGCATCGGCAGGCGGACTCTCAACCACTGCGCTACCAGGGAAGCCCACAAACCACTTTTGACACATTCGATCATTCACAACACCTTCTCCATACACTGCACAAATCTTTTTTGTGTTTCAGTTGCATTTTTACTTTTCTTGAAATAATAAAGCATAATATGCCAAAAATGTTGCTTTTTTCTTCCATCTTCAATATTAAAATGGCTACACAAAAATTCACCAATTTTGATAAGTTTTTTTTTTAATGCATGCTGATGTGACAGCTGTCACAGTACAATCTAACAAAATTGTTTCAAATGAAGTTAAAGACAACTAAGCGCTACTAGAGCCACCTTACGGAAAAAACAGAATGAACCTTTTGGCCAACCCAATATATACCTATATATTTACACACATATACATACCTATGTAATTTAAAGTAAATACTAATAATGGATGTGACTATTTAAGCAGTATTAAATCACCTCTGCTACAAGTCTGCTATCTCATTTATTCATTCCTTCATCAAAATGTATTGAGAACTTGCTGGATTTTTCTGTATACTCCTGAGTCTTAGGTCTTATTTGTAGATTTCTACCTTGGTCCTGATTCCCAGATCCTCATCTGCTAACCTCCTATTAGAGATGTTTCCCTTCAGACTAAAGTGTCATCTTGTCGTTGGCCTTCCTCGCATGAGACCGGAGCTCTGTTCTGAGCACTAGGCCACTGGCTGGAGCCCAGCTGTTTGTTGACCATGTTTCCAGAGGCTGAAACTTAAGTGTCCAGTCTCTGGCTTTCACCTAGTCCAGATCTGGAGTGCCAGGTCTAGAGCTTTCCTATTGTCCTGGCTCATTTTAAAAAAATGGACACAGCCTTTATATGGATAGTAAGGTTTGAAAGATATATGAATAGGAAGTTTCTCCAATTACAAAGCGTTATACAAATGCTAATTTTTATCATGAAAGGATAGGGCCCCAGGTGTAAATTTAGGATGTTATCAGCACAGAGGTGCTGGAACGTGGCTATGTATGTTGAGCCCAATGAAAACACAGGAGACCACTAACAAACATCCACCTCATACGTGCAAAGTTAAAGAGAAACAAGGGCTCATAAATGCACCATATTCAAAAGCATATGAATACATCTGACAGGTGTACTTAAAGCTTACTTGAAGCTTTCTAAAAAGTTTTTTTTAAAGTAAAGAAAAGAAAAAGCAAAACTCTGACCAGAAGACACATAGTATAGTAGACACTATTGGCTGCCTACCCAACGGCCCTTCCAACTTCCCCTATTTCTTGCTGGCAGAGCTGATTCTCATTTCAGAGGCTTAAATGTCAGAAAGGTAGTTTCCCAGCTTTCTTGCAGCTAGGGCATTGGCATGGGACCCAGGAAGTCTTGGCCAATGGACCTGAGGGGAGGTCTGCTGGTGAAGTTCTGTGAAGTTTTCCTCCCTGATCAAAAGAGAAACATTACCCTTTCTGCCTTTGAACATGGTTACTAACTTGATGTCTGGAGTAGCAGCAGCCACCTTGCTACAACGAGGGAATGAGCGTGAGGACGACAGACAACACATGGAAGAGAACTGAGCATTAAGACGGAAAGAGCCTGAGTCATGGATGTCACTGTTGAGGGATGTCCCTGTAGCCTCCCTGCAGCCTTACCTTTAGACACGTTTTATGTGAAATGGTAACTGATCTTTCATTTAAGCCACTTTCAGTTAGGTTTTCTACGCTTGCAGCTAAAATAATCCTATTTTTAAACATAATCTTTACATTAACTATCTTAATTTGTTATTG